GTACCCTAGATGCCGATGTGAACGACTCAGCATCCCACCAAAAGATTTTCGCAGTCACACTCTAGTCCTTATCCCTCTTTGTTTCTGTACTTTCCCTCCTCCTACCGCTTCTATCCCAATCCTCATCACAACATCTTCACAACCTCTTCACAACATCTTCACATTACAGACATTTTAAACGAAAAGACCTCATCAAAAATAACATCAATCAGAACACAAGACTCTTTTATTCACAACATCACTTAACCTCAAGTTCAGAAATATTCTAAAGGTAGGAATTGTACTAGCCAGATTTCTCCCCCCTGAAACCTCGAAGGTTGTGGAGGGACGTGTGAGGGTAATATGTGAAAGAAACATACTAAAAATGGATCAGTTCCAGAACACAAGACCCTTTAAATCGCAATAGTCCATCAAATTACACCAACATCACAACAAAACAAGAGGTACTTACTCTCTCCTCGCAAGCAATATGCCTATATATACATGCTGACATTTTCTTCAAGTGCCCTCCATGCATATCACAAACCAGACTATGTGAAGTTCAAACAATTGTTATTGATAAACGTCTTAACTGACATTTATTCACATCCAGGACAACGGTGAACCACCAGACTGTCCTAAAGTTAGAAGTCAAGCAAACTAACTACTCCGATAAGTAGATTGCCGGGTGGGAAAGGAAGCAGAGGCAGCAGCAGCAGCATCAAACTGCTGCTGTACCATACCCGCTGCATTGTGGTGGGCCCCCTTTGCTCAACTAAGCGCAGGGTGAGGGAGAAGCAGGTACAACAGCAGCAACCGCTGCTGTGCCATACCCGCTGCATTGTGGTGGGCCTCCCTTTATTCAACTAAGCGCTGGGTGAGGGAGAAGCAGGCACAACAGCAGCAACCGCTGCTGTGCCATACCCGCTCCATAGTGGCGGACCTCCATCTTGTGTAACCGATTTCGGTTGGTAAAGCAGCAGGTACAACAGTAATAACCGCTCCGTACCATACCCACTCCATAGTGGTGGACCTCCCCTTGGTGCAACTAATTTCTGGGTGGGAAAAGAGCAGGCACAGCAGCAACAACCGCTGCGTGCCGTACCTACTCCATTGTGGTGGTGGACCTCCCCTTACAACCAATTTCCGGGGCCCGGTCATGTCTCAAGATCCATTGATCCAGCTTTCGCAACTACATAAACATCGCGATCGAGGCCTAGCCAGGCACTTGTGCACAAGGTATGTTGTCCGTAGTCCTATACATGTTTATGTCTGGTTAATTGACATACTTTCTCTAGGATAAGAACCGGGGATGAAGCATAGAGAATAGAGCAGCTAAGGGAGAGCAATACAACCAAATCATAATGAATCGAGTTCGGGAAGGTTTATATGCTATGGCTTTCCGTAAAACATTTATGTATTAGTATTCTCGTGTCAAGAACGATTTATTCCCAGTTGGATTCCAAGTAACTGGAGACGCTCGGTAGCGCAGGCAACTTGGCAAGTGAGTCACTGATGTTCATCTCAAGTTATCTATCCTTCCCCTTCTTTAACCCAAGAGGTCAGTAAGTTAGATCCAAAGGAGGGTATTTGCTAATCGTACTTAATGTTCAAAACAGATATCCAGTATGCCCAACAGCTGTACGCACCTAGGATACTTGACTGGTACTACAATGAGTCACTTTCCATCCATCCCACTTATAGGCCATCCCCCACTTTTCACCCTACTCTCGCTTCATGCAGGACACATACCGTATAGTCCAACACCTCATCTTGGCTCCCCTCTTGCTGGATATTCTCTTCTATAGCTCAACAGAGATCTCTCGTTACAAGCATATCAGATATAAGCATATATTGGTTACAAGCATACCTTCGGTAGTCCCACATAGTAAATAAGCATATTTCCGTTCTAGAATATTCTTATTTTTTTTGCTTAGTCACCATACATATTCTTTTAACAAGAGAAGCACCTCGCCATATTGGGATGTTTATCGATAAGAAATAACCCAAGCAACATACGAGTTGAATCTATAGTAACATACTAAGAAGAGAAGCTCAAATGCCTAATTCATGGATCTCTCGAGATTGTCGAAGATCCAATCTCTGATATTGAAGATGCAATTCTGGCAACCTATCTTCCAAGCGCAGTCAATGAAACCGAAACTGAGCCACTTCACCTCCTCCGGTAAGTTCAAAAGCAGCGGAGACAGACCTCAGGTCGTACTATGGGACATCCCCATCCATTAGATATCGACTTATCTGCTGATTCCGACCCGCAAAACTCTACGTCACAAACACCATACCTGAGAGATTCTTCATCACGAACCCTGGATACTTGGCAGAGGCGCCGCACCCTTCAATGGGCCATTTCACGGGGATATCAGGGACAGATAGACAATATACCCAACAAGGTTATTAGCCTACATCGAAGGGTTGCTCCTCTTCTCTCTTCAAGCTGTCACACCGAACATCACTGAGCTGCAAGATGTCCTCAAGTGGGAGAAAAGACGGATTGAAACTCTTGAGGTTCAGCGCAGAAGTTATCATGTTCAATGCAGGATTACTGACTTTGTGCCAGGTCCAGCCTCCTCCTCCTAATATCCCTTCCGCTCATTTAGCTGTCTTTTTTTTGAATATTTTCAGTACTCATACTTTTTATTCGGATGTCTGTTAGTTATTATCCCATTTTGTAGCCTTTCCTTGCTCTCTCTAATGTATTTCCGTTTCTCTAGATATAAGAATATATTGGTTACAAGCGTATGCTTGTAACGAGAGATCTCTGTAGAACCCTGAAGCCAGGAAGTAAAGCCATTTTGGGCACCGCGTCTTGATGAATATCGATCTCGACCAACTTCCTCGTCCCATGCGTATCAATAACAGATCTATACATATTATTGTCGAGTTTCGTTGGTGTTGCATCCAACAGGACACAACGAACACCCTGCCTGAGATATTTCGACACACGCATCTGGTAGGCTCCACAAAAACATAGTCTCCTCCATTTAACTAACATACACAAAGATAATTTAGACACTACAGTCAAACTTGATTTACTGAACGAGGCTTTTCGACGCAAGTGAGCAGGTTATGCACATTGGCCGGCAGTTGTCTCATGGCCCCCCTAATGGGGCCGCATAGGAGTAACAAGTATTTATAAAAAAAAAAAAAGACCGGCAGTTGTTAGATTCAATTTTGCACTTGTACTAGATGCATATGTTTGGCTGTGCGAAAACTGTTGCCAGTAAGAAATCCCTTCATTGACCAGAAGTGGTAAGTTTGCTCTGTTGAGAACAAGATCTCATCTCTAACGGAAGAATAGGCGAGTAGCACAATAACCACAATTCTTGCATACCCTACAACTATATATCCTCTTACAATTCCACCTGTTTATGCTACGCCTGCCTATCCGGTGCATTAAAGCCACTCCAACTGCAAATTCCTCTCCGGCTCAGCCAAACTCGAGTGTACATATAGAGTTGAGTCTCTGAAAGATGTGGGAATCAAGACCCGTAAGTTATTCACAATCTCTGATTCCTGTAAATTCATTGTGAGAAGTTACTAACGCAGTAGGTAACCATCAAGACCCATGGGGTATGTGATAGCCATGTGGGAAAAGAGGAAAATAGTGATAGCGGTGGTGGAGCAGGACAGGTAATACAGAAACACCAAACATTCCATATTAGTTACTTTTCTAAATACTCCTTTCTCTAGATACACCGATTTCAACTATCTGGATGGTCCTTCCTTACTGCAAAGTTGGTCATATTGGATTGACGTTCACCCACAAGGTACATATAATGCGCATATCGGAGTGGAGGCACTGCAGAAGAAGGATGTTCCCGGCTAACTACTTTTCAAGCCAGAACTTGAAATTTTAAAGCCTATTCGTCTTGTGTGTACCTGTATCCCTAGATTCCATGACCATGTAACTAACGTGCATGCTAGTGATAGTTTCTACGACGGTACAGGAATTCAAAACAGGAACAGGATATTTTAAAAAAGAAAGAAAGAAGTACACGACAAACAACAGATAAAAAATTAAATGTAAATTTATTGATTGGGCCTACCGAGCGAGGAATTCAAACATATGTGGAGATCAGGGCCCCGGGTGGAAACACAGCAAAGTGTGTAAATATCTTTTAGCACTCCAACTGGGGGATATACAAGAGCTAATAGTGCTAACAGGCCCCAAACAACGGTATCCTCTTGTATTTGGATAAGCCTCCTGTGGTCAACACTTATTTTTGATCCTACTTTATCATCCTTCTTATGCAATCGCCAATCCTAAACATAAATAATGGATAAAAATGTGGTGTCATTCTTTTTTCCCTTATCTGCCACCCAGGGTACGATTTTTTTCTATTCCCAACAGCAACAAAAAAAAAAAGAAAAAAAAATACAAAGTGAATTATTAGGCCAACTTGACAAAGGATATTGCACTGGTAATTCTACTCCTATTGCCACATGCTCACCTGGCTGGACAGGGAAATGATGCTTGAAAAAGGCTATTGCCATAGTATTTCGAATCAGATTGCCACATAATCACCTGGTTTGACAGGGAGATGTGGTGCTTGCCTGGCTCGAAAAAGGATATTACAGGTAATTCTGATCCTATTGCCACATGCTCACCTGGCTGGTGATACTAAACCTATTACCACATAATCACCTGGTTTGACAGAGAGATGGTGGTGCTTGCTTTGTCGAAAAAGGATATTGGAGGAGGGAGGGAGATGTACAAATAACAATCAATAATTCTTTCCATACATGAAATGAGGGACCATGAACGTGATGGGGTGACTGATATGAGATTTCCGTGCCGTATGCAAACAGTATGTGGGGAGTTTGTATTTGAGGGTAATGCAAGAGTAGGCTTGTAAAAATGGGATAAAATTGGGCAATTGTGTTATCCAAAGATTTATAGATAAAAAGGATGAGTAAAAATCAGGGATCCGTAGCAAATTCGTAATTTCGGAAAAAGCAAGGGGAACATACTTAAGAATAAAAAATAAAAAGTAGTCAGTCGGTACTAGAAAGACTCGAACTTTCAACCTCCCGGTATTTGTTCACCAGCTTGGGGCCAGTAACAGCCGGACGCGCTAACCAATTGCGCCATAGAACCATTTTCATGGCCGTCGTGGTCAATCTTCAAGTCTGTGTGCTCATGGGAAAACCCCCATTCATTACCGCGCAAGTTGTCAGAACAACCCCCACGCATGCGCAACAACAGACCTACGCACATTTACACACACACGCACCACACACAGGCATCACGCACACGCACACGCACACGCACACATACGCATACCTACCGGGTTCATTCGATGTTCTAAATTTGAAGGGGGGCCAGTTGCCCTGCAGTGCACGCCACCCCCCGGCAGCTGCAAGCCCCCTCCCTTTTGCTTCCCCATGTACAGTGACGATTCGTGATGTAGTGGACACGTCAGAGGCGGCTCAGTTCCTACTGGAGATGCTTTTTTCTATATTTTTTTTATTTTTTTTATTTTTTTTATTTTCATTCTTTTTATTTATTTTTTTCCCCCGCCTGCGCGGTACAGTGGCAGGACTGCAGTGGGCGCTGGAAATCAAAGAAATTCAGACGACTTTTGCACGTTCCGTCCCACGTCCTCCCCTGTTCACACCGGCTTTCCAAGCAAAGGAAGAGACGAGAGAAATCCGAGGTCCCCTCCCCCCTCATTCAAATTCCCCCCTCCTCCGCACTCTCACAGCACCCCCCAGATCACCATGGCGAATGCATACCAGCCCACCCGCGCCGGCAGGGGCATCTGCGGCCGCTGGAACGATACGTGCACGTGCGCCTCCAGAGTGCTGGAATACACTTGCTACTACTCGACAGTCTCGCCCACGACCTACGCGCTGCATACGCAGGGCCCAGCACCTCCGACGCAGCCAGACTTGCCAGGGTGAGCCCCCTCCTGTTGTTGTTGTTCATTGTTGTTATTGGCACGCGATGCCTATGGCCCCGCTCTGGGTGCGCTGTGGTGTGCTGTGGTGTGCTATGCTGTGGTTTGCTGTGCTGTGCTGTGCTGTGCTCTGCTGTGCTGGTGCGGTGTGGAAATTCATACGTCGTACATTACATTGCATATCCCCCCCTCCCCTCTCTTCTGCCTAATAATAAACCCATCCCGCACCCCTCCCCACCTGTATCCTATTTGTCGAGAGTTATACCTACCAAAACTACCTTGCCCTTGTCGTATCAAAGTACTTTCGTTGCTTACCATTAATACCAGTCCCACCGCTGCGGCCTCCTCCTCCTCCTCCTCCTCCTCCCTGATTGCAGAGGAAATGCGATATTCATCACCCTCATCAAGCTCCTCCCCCGACACACACGACTACAACAACATCCCCACCACCTGCTTCTACCATACCTCCCTCTACCAAACCTCCTCTCCGGCGAAGCTAGTCCTCACACCGGTTATCCTCGCCCCCACAACGCCAGCTGCTGCAAACAAGATTACGAAAAGGTCAGCAGAAAAGAAATCGGCTGAAATGCGATCCTGCGCCGGCGCGAGATGTACGCTGTTTAAGCACTCTTCGTCGCTGTCGACAGGCATGAGAGAGTGGGATGTGGATGCTCTGGGCGGGACGACCGGGTGGTTCTTGCAAAGGCTTATTGAGGTGGCAACTACGGGGAATGAGCTGCCGACGGTGCCGACTGAGAGGCAGATGATTGGGAGGAGGGAGGACAAGGTCGGGGGGATGGAACTGGATGGGGATGTGGATGTGGATGACGTCAGGGAGCAGTTGGAGAGGTTAAAGACTGTGGATGCGGCCGAGAGGAAAGATTTACAAGTGGTCAAGGCGCAGGCGCCGGGAGAGGAGGTTTTGGCAATGGCAAGGACCCTTGAGAATTTGACTGTATCGAATCGATCACTACCTCCGACCACCTCCACCGCCGCAATAACACCATCACCATCACTATCATCATCAGCCCTCTCCGCCCTCCCCTCAAACCCCTTCTCCGCCCTCCCCTCAAATCTCTCCTCCCTCCCAACAATCCCCCCCTACGCCCCCCTAATCTCCACCGCCGCCACAATCTCCCCTCCTAGCACCCCACCCCCTCTCTCCCCCTCCTTGACGGCAACACCAACCTCCTCCCCCCCCAACCTATAAAAAATCCCCTCCGCGCAGTCGCAAAACCATACTACCCCTCTTCTCCCGTGCTCTCTGCCCGGAGATATTCACCGAGTAATTCCAGCCACAGCAGTTACCCCGGGTACAAGGGACTATCGAGCTCGCCCGGCAGCGGGAGCGGAAGCGGGATTAGTCGTCGGCTGTGTGTGGATCGGGTTGATCGGGGAAAGGACAAGGAGCGTGTATACAACGGGCAGTATACATGGAGTGGATACTCGAGTGATGGGAGTTATGACCATGCACCAGCTTCACCATCTTCACCAACCTCATCCTCCACCACCTCCTCCTCATATTCATCATCACAATCTTACTCCCAATTTCCAAATTCAGCGTTATACTCCCCCTCATCACCCTCGCTATCTTCTTCAACGCTCGCCCCCTTCCCGTCAAGCTCGAAAGTCCAAGCCGGCCGAATCGGAAAACGCCGCGCGGCTTCGGGCGGCACCGGTGGTTCATCGGGTTTAAATTTGTCGGTGAGCGCGCTCGCGTCGCTGGGTCAGGTGTCGGGGACGGGAGTAATGCAGATGCATATGGAGATGGGGGTGGTGGTGATGGGTGTGCGGAGGGTGGGAAGGAGGGCGCCATCGCCAGAGGTTCAGGTTGCTGCTGCAGTGGAGAGGAAGGATTCTGGATCCTGTGAGATGGGGATGGTGGATAGGGGGAGGAAGGTGGTCGGGATGGATAATGATGATGTGGTGATGATTGACGGGGATATGGTTATGGATGGGGACTGGGAACTGTAAGGTGGGGGGGTTAGTGAAAAACGAACGGGAGTCGTTTCTAGGAGTTTCTGTTTTCCTCTTTGGCACGTGGATTGGGTTGGGGTGGTGGGGCTTTGGGTTTGTGAGTTGGGATTTGGGATTTGGGCTTTGGATTTGAAGGTTTGGGGTTTGGGGTTTGGGGTTACATATGGCCTTTTTTGGAGCGGACGAAACAGTTTTTAGAACGATGAATGAATGGAGTTATCATGAATGAATAGGATTGCGTGAGTGAGTGAGTGAGTTGAGTGGGTGGGTGGTGATGAGTGGATTATGACCAACCCACCCCACATCCATACAATATTTCTTTTTTCCATAACCCCCGATCCCCATCCCGGGAGGTGGGGGAAGAATGGGCATTGGTGCGGTAGTGGAGAGGGTGGGGGGGTAACCGAGTTTGTAATGTTCTCGCGGGGGGTGAGTATTACCCTAAAAGAGACGTTAGACGCATTTTTTTTTTTTTTTGGTGGGGGTGATCATATATCTAGAAAGGTTATATATAACCTTGATATATCTATCCTGAGCCTCCTTTTTTTTCTAAAAAAAAAAAAAATAACTAGAGCAGTATAGAGTTGTTTGGGGTGAATAATGTTTCTTGAGGATTTTGAGGAGAAGATTCGACAAGGGGGAAACCCTTAATACTAGCTTGTAGAGGAAGCCCGACCCCCCCCCCCCCCCCCCTTCTTTCTTTCCTCTCTCCTCCAACACACACAGCCATTCTCAAAGTCACCGAGCAACATTTTGAGGGTGCTTGACCTTTCAAAAACCTCATGTTCTCGCGGTAGAGGTAAAGGGAAAAGTGACCCTGAATTTGACATAGGGAGACTATGGGAGGGAAATTTCATATTGAGCATTATTGATGAGAGCGGGAAAATCCCCTTGGTGGATAATGTCAAGCCTGCGTGGGATATGCAACTAGGTTGGTTTCAGATGTTAGATTTGTATCTAAGGGAGGTTGCCTCTGGATCTATAGACAATACAATACTGTACCTTAAAGTATATTTCCAGATGCATTACCCTCAATAATACATAGTCTGGCTGCAGTAGCCCATTAGCAATAACAAAGATCACCACCGTCACCAATACCAATGCACAATCGCCCCGTCCTCTAATCAAAGTTTATATCCTCAGTTCTCAAGATTAATGCTGCAGAATGGCTTACCAAGTTATGGGGGGCGAGTTTCCCCAGGGCCGAACTTGAAGTCCTTAGGACAATTTAAAAAAAAATGCTCTGTCGTCCATTTGCAAAAACCCAATGTTTGTAGCACAATGGCCGGATATGATCCCCGCTCCCAAGGGGAATTATCGGATGCAATCAGAGCCCCTACTTTATTTACTAGAGTTATGTATGGCATTGGAGGACATTTAGCTCAATACGCACTTCCTCACCAATTGGATAACTCTGATCTACTCTTTGACCTACCATCTCTCCAATCAGCTTGTTAGAAAAGGCAAGGTATCAACACAGTATATACATTCAAAGATGTATCTCCAGAGTGGATATGCTAGGGATTGATTTGGGGCAGGATTCATTCTGAAAAAAGGTTGTATGAGGATCTGTTAAGACCATTGGAGAAGAATTTAAAATATTGTTGTCGAATGTGATAATCTAAAGGACATTATTGGAAAGGAATGAAGGATTGGAGGAGATGCTGAGGTAGCTGCTCTTGCTATTGCAAGCGGTCCAATGGTATCAAGTACGTAAGTTAGCTTGCACATAGTCTAATTCAATATTAGCTTACACACAGTGTTGTGTTACACTGCATGATATAAAACATAAAATTAAATAGGTATATTCAATCCTATTAGTTCTAATGATTTATCATCTGAAGCATCCGGTACTACATAACTCGAGCGAGCGAGACTTATATCAATGATCTGTGCTGCCACAGATATTCCCCTAACCAGAGTTAACCATTCCCCCAGTGATACTGCAGGATTACCCATAATGACAATGTTTGGAAGTCAAGGTGATTTTACGTATATGCTTATTAGGTGCCTTATCTTCAGATCTGTTGGTACATAGAAGACCCCATTTGTACTCTTTAGTGATTTTATGTTCATGTAATCCCAAATTCGGCCTGTCTCATGACTGATAGAAGAATGACCAATGTAGAACATTACATAGGTATTTTGATATATATATTCTATGGATTAGTGCTTAGTCACCACATACATATGATCCAACCTAAATTGGTAGGTAGTCGCT